GTCAAGCTGCCACTCGAAGCAAAGTCTCGCAGTCTGGCTCTTATTCACTGTCACTTGGTCGGACGAGAGGGAAGATAGGGGTGAATTATTAATGGTCCGCCCGCTCAGGTGCCGACCCTACCAACACGCACCAACAGGCTTTTCATCGTATATATTCGGCCGATAAGCCACTCAAAAGCATTTACTTAATTAGCCGCTGATTAATTAACGCGGCTGAGTAATTTGAGATAATCAGGGCAGGGCGAGACGGGCTGGTATTATTAGACGATAAGTAGTTTGGCTAAGTGGAGTTGATGGCGGAGAGAGATGTTGACGGCCTTGAATTGATCAGTCTGCATTAATGCAATGGCACGCATATTGACTTGTCCGAGTTGACAGGTCATTTGATTAATAGTAAATATATGTACGTGTTGTAATTATAAGTAGAATTTCAGGTCATGATCATTTGTAATTCAAAAGCAATCAACTGTACTTATTTGAGCTATTTACAATTGCAAAATAATTGTTGGTTATTTTGGAACATTATTACCATTATTATAATCTACTAGTTCAAAATCTATTTGTTTGAAAGAAAAAAAGAGTATTGCTGGACAAAACGACCCAACCAATAGCAATAATTTTTTTTAAACCTTTCTAGGTCAAAAAGCCCCAATCCACCTTAGAAAGTAAAAAATGTGTTTTAGCATCTTTAGCTTTCTAACTATCGCAAAATATTTTCTTTAGTGAAGAATTATAATGCATAAAAATTTACCGATTTAAAATTATTTTGGTTGCAATCAATATCTGGCACTATCTAAAAATATTTTTATCTCAATGTGCAATCTATAAGCAAAATCTCTTTCCCATTTTCCATAACTCAATAAAATTAAATTAAATAGTAGTTATTGCTGTCTGCATTTTTTGGTGAGCATGCTGGTGTAGACGCAAGAAAATAATTCAAGAACTTTTGAATTAAAAGATTTAAACAGTTAAATGATTTAATTCATGAAAAAGAAATTCACTCTCAATTAATAATTAAAAAAACATTTTTGAATTAAAATTCCACTTTTTCATTCTTGTGAATATATCAATATCAAAATATTATTTTTCAAATAGTAAGCGAAGATATCTTTTTTATTATTAAAAAATGTGGCAAAATTTTCTCACTGGATTATTCAAATTTAAAATTTGTTTTTGTATTACATTATAATATGCCTTGACATGCTTATTGATAATTATATTTTTCACAGTAGCACCTGTGCAAAAACTCGCACGCGCGCGTCATGTTTACCGCTTTTCATTTTTAATCCCCGTGTGTCTCGCGAGCAACATCACGATTCATTGTAGCAACCACGCGGTGGAGTTTTATAGTCGCCTTGATCCCCAGCGGAACCCACCCGAGCTTGATCACGTTCATTACACATAAAATACAGACACACTCGCGAGCAAACACGAGAGAGACGCTGAACGGAAGCTGCACGTTCGTGGTTTGGATTCAATAATAAATTCTCATCAGCCACAGACGGCGCTCGCTTGAAAAAAAAAGGAAAAGCAACGGCCCGAGCAAAATTGTGTGTCTTTAGGCGTTCGGATGAAAATAAAACGAAAAAGACACGTTCGGTTTAATTCGCCACTTCATCACGCTCGAGTTGACAATTTCCATTTTGGCAACTTGCGGTCGATTTTTTTATCGACTCGCTGCAGACCCTCCTCGTCACGTCCCTGCAGCAAAATTTGCGTTTGCCGAGGGTCATTGCGCCAAAATGTTGTGTTGCTGTGATAAATTAATCTGGATGAGAGAGAGAGAGAGATGCGAATTCAAGTCGGCCTGATTAGCAGCTCCGTCCCTAGCGAGGGAGGGAGAAGGATTGCAATAATAAATCATTGTGCCGCCTGTGCATTGTAAATCCATCTCGTTTGGTGCACAAATTGCTTCCTGTTATTCGCAAAAGTGGCAGCCGCCTCTTGTTGATCAGCTTTGTCCCGTGATATATTGCACTACCCGGGACATTTTGGACACAATCTGACTCTCTTTTATATTGGGATCGCCCTTATCTTTTCTCCGTATATACAAACATGATGAATTGACGCAACTTTTCTCCGTCAACTAATACCAACTTTATATTGCCTTTGCGGGATAACTGCATTATTTTATGGAAAAATGGATCTTGCTTTCCATTGAAATTTTTTGCTAGACTAAATGAAGGAAGAGTGTGATGAAGCAACATTACTTGTAATAATTATTTAAGGAAATTTCAAAGAAATATGAATTGATGCAATCTTTTCATTAATGGAGTTTTGTAACATATTAAGGGATCATATTTTCTTTTCTGTGAAATTTTTTGGTTTTTCTCTAAATTTTTCAAAATATATACTTTGAATTTTTAGATGAACCAATTTCAATAAGGAAAATAGCTAAATATTCACGTTCAAAATATATTTTCAAAATTTTGAGAATATCTTATTATATATAAACTCATTTTGTGTAGACTTCATACTTAATCAGATTTATATTTTGTACTTTTTCCGACCTTTGAAATTGTCACATAAATTGGAGACCGTTAACATAATTTTTTGTACAATTTAATCTAGGTGAAGCCTGTTTGCTTTTCATTACAAAACTCCTCCTTCTGTGCTGTTTAACTTTTTCATCCGGGCTCTTTTCACTTTTCCAGCCCTTTTTATATGCAAGTAGAAAATATTAAAGATTAAAATACAGACTTTTCCTCAAGCGTAATTTAGCTTATTTTTTTCTGCCAGATTTTTTTAATTAATATTCCAGTGAGCGTCTGTGCGCTTAAAAATCCTCCACAATGTTTGTGCTCTGCAGAAAATGAAGAAAATTATCTCCCGTAGCGTCACGAAATATATTAAAACGAGCAAATCTTTCTTACAAAATAAAAATCCCTTGTCGCAAATTGAGATTTTTCTCTCCAAGCTTCTACTTCTTCTTTTTCTTTTATATTAAATATTTGAGAATGAACCTAAATTCTGAGCACGTCACACCGGCCCACCGTATTTCAGATTGCGCGGCCCCGGCACGACTTTATACGCAAATCCTTCAGCCTTTTCTTTATCTCCGGATAAGAAGAGGAGCAAAAAAAAAAAGTAAAAGGGAGACGCACGCCCCGCAGCGCAGCAATTATTGCACAAGTAGTTTTGCCCACTTTTATTTCCTGCCAAGACTGGCCGCGTTTTTAGCGACTCGGTAGGGGTTGGAGTGGCGACGGGAAATCGTCGCAATCGAGCCCACCCTCGGCTGTAAATCCTTGGCGAGGTCGTTGAACTGTGGCGCGTGGGCGCACAAAAAAGAGCAACAAAAGAATCGGAAGCTCATTTCAAATGCAACGAAAGTGTCGTCCGACGTCTCCAGAAATATGCAGATTTGAAAAATTATTCAAATAAATAATACTAGGGACTAGACAAGTAAATAAATAATAAGGCCATTTTGCCGAATTTCTGACATTTCTCTCAAGAGAAGAAAATTTGCATCAAAATGGTGCAGAGCAAGTAAATAAATTTCCAGCTTTCTAGCCGAAGTTCTTTCTCCAATTTTTTTATTTTTTATTCTCTCCATATTCCCCTCTAAGAGCTCTGCTTGCATATTTTAAGCTCTCTTGCATTTAATTAAAAAGTCTGCCGCAGCAATCGAGTTTCTGTTAATTGGCGCCGGTTTGAAAGAGACGTCGTGCACGCCGGCGAACGTATTCCATTAATGGGGTAGGTCGGAAACAATCTGCATCGTCCCCTGCGGAGTCTGCCAGAACATGCAACTGGCGGCAGCAAGCTTTTGTGGTGCGCCCGCAGATGCAGCCGGGATTTTCTTCTCTTTGATTTATCGCTGCTCTTTATCTGCCTAATGCATTTCACCGACGGCTGTCTTTTCTCCTCTCATTCTACGCGAATTGTGTCCCTCGCGAATCAGGTCAGGTTGGATCTATTCACGTACGGCGAATCACAGATAAATCCGCCATTTCATTGAATATGTTAATTTTCAGGAGGGTTGCGTTTCAATTATAATATCTAGTTTTTACTTCAGATTTAACTTTTAGTTTTTCTTTCATCAGCAACAAAATGGGATTTCAGGTTCCTATTTTAACTGTCAAAATTCGTCTAAATTTTACTGTACAATTCTTACAAGATTAATTTTTTTTTAAATTAATGGAATATACAAATTACGCGTATTAAAAAAAAAATGAAGTACAGGTGGGACTATTGCATTAACTTTACTAAATTTATAAAGTACCCGTCAATCATGATGGATTATGTAAACATTAAGAGTCGGACACGCACAAAATTACGTTAGGTTTTTCAATAAAATATTGGCGGTATCTTACCTGCTTGCAATTATTATTAATTAATTTTATTTTACATGGCTTAATTTTAAATACGGTTGAGCTTCTGCAAATTCTTCAGATAATCGCATTGTGGATGTCATAGAAATTTTAAAATTATATTTATTGTAAAATTATAAAAAAAAAATTAATGAAAAATATGCAAAAATTTTAAATTAAAATCTTTTAGTAAAGTAAAATTAAACAAATATTTATGACAAATAATGTCTATATTATTTGCAAGCTATAATAATTATGTTATTCAACTTGCATTGTTCAACCTACTTTTCATCGCGGTTCTCGCAAGTCAATACCTCAAGTTTGCTCAAAGTTACTTCGTAAACGGTGTTTATTGTTTAGCTGTGTGTGCTCTCCAATGTAAACAAGAGTGCTGCTTGAAGTTTGCTTGTTTAAAATTTGCAGCTTATCTCCGCGATCACGTGTTCCTTAGAGATAGATGCACCTGCAATCGACAGTCGAGATCATTTTGAAAAGCACAATTTTCGCTCACATCAGTAGTAAGTAAAAAAGAAAGAAGAGGCGCAGTTCCGCCAAACGTGTTTATTATTGCGAGATAGCGCTATTTTTTTTTTTACTCATACTTTCCTTCTTGAATGCACGCCTGCTGCATGTGTTGGGATTATAAAAATGCAAGCAGGTCACATTTCACTGCAGCCCGAGTGTGTGCGGAAAGCCATTCAACGAGTGAGAATGTGAAAAAGTTCTCAGCGCATTGAGAGCAGGTTGCATCGTATTCAAATTTTATTCTCTCGCAGAGCTCGATAGAAAAATGATTTATAAAGCTGGATACTGCATTTGATGTTTGCTTTTTTTATAAATGTTGTGAAAATATAAATATCTCAAAGTTGAAGCAAACAAATCATGTTGATGCAGAAAAATTTGAGGTTAATTAATTCCAAATCAAAATCTTTTCATATTTTTAAATTTTTTTAAACTTTTAAACACATTATTTGATTGATTTATAAAAAAGTTTTCACATTTTATTTTCGCGTTATTTTAAATATTTTACATTTCTTAGAGGCTCTATATTGTTATTAATTGTATAATTATATTTTTCTGAGTAGCGCTCGCAAAGTATTTTAAACGAACCCTTCAATTGCACTTAAAGTTGACCCAGCGCTGCTATTTTAATTTGCTCAATACTCCTCTTGCAGAAAGTTGGAAGCTCCAGTGAAAGTCCCGAGAGCTCTTCATATTTATAGTCAAGAGTTGTAATTCAATTTTACGCTCTAATTGAGACTCGACTTGACGAGAACTCGAGGTAAAACCATATTAATCTCCCTTGCGTTGGGAAACGTTCTAGGTCAAAATTGCAGTAGTAGAAAAAAGCGAGTGAGTTTTTCATTTCGAGTTGGAGGCTTTTTTCTAAATTGAAGAATTAAAACGCCTTTCCTAGCTGCAGGAATAGTAATGAGAATGCCAACGTGGAAGAGGCAGCCCGTCACCTGGATCCAATCTTGCTGCAAATAAGTAGGACAAATCTCGCACATAATGTGGCATGGCAAAATTGTGACTGCGAGCTTCCAGCGTTCCCTCTATTTCCAGAAGAGAAACCAGACATCCTCTGCTTTGAAACCGTCCCTCTTTGAAGAAGGGAAGTGAAATTGAAAAAGGCACTGCAGTTGAAAAGAAGGAAACCGCTCGATTTTTTCCTCTAGCTGAAGTTAACTTATTTCTACTCTGCTAAAAAGTTTAAAAAGTAATTTTTATATAAAAGTTACAAGGCCATGCAAATAAAATAAATTTCATATTTTTCTTTTAACCACTTTTTCGCAAAATGACGTTCGTCGTGGGAGGTGAAAGATCAAAAAGGTTTTGACTCTTTGTCATCGTGTGCTTCAAAGGTCGCTCGCTGCGTTCACGAACGATCGCGAATCTTTAACCTCGACATAACGGAAGATATTTTTTTTGCCAAGGCAGGTCCAAAATGAAGCAAAGATTGAGTTTTACGGCGTATCGGGCGAGGTTGGTCCCACGCACCCCTGAGTGGGGATGCTTGTCATTCTAACAAAGAGATATTGTAGTGTCACGGGGTGGAGGTGTTGATCCCACGCTTGCTCTCACGCAAATTGACGCCTTGTTTTAGCAACGAGGGTCGCATCTGCAAAATTTGGATTCCCAGCCGTGTCCAGTGTTTACAAATAGCCTCGAGGCAATGAACTGTGAATGTTACGACACAAACAGAGTACAGACCAAATTAATTTTTGACACGAAAAACTAAAAATAGGTTGTCACATTCCATTTCTATTGTAACAATTTGTGACATTCTTAGGATGGAGTATGAATTTTTTTTGGGAAGAATTCAAAAGGGGTTGCCATTTTTATTTGTGCATGATCATGGTACTTCTATAATAATTACAAGGTTTTGAAAATTTTGAAAGATCAAGCGATGGTGATAGAAAGTTGGTTATTCACTTATTCATAATGCAGTTACAATCAATCATGTTACCAAATAATGATATTTTATGCTGAAATGTATAAAATGATAGAATTGAAGATACACCACTGTGACTAACAATCTTGTCTTTGAATTGTTGATTACTCTACACACAACAGTTAAAAAAATAAATTTTAAATTTATTAAATAGGTAAATTCTTTAATGGCATTACAATTTTTGTAAAAAATAGGATATTTCTTAAATTTAATATATTATAATAAAAGTTGAAGGTAAATTTAAATAATAATACAAATAAATAAAAATAGTATGGTGTAATTTTCTTACTTTAATAAAACATGAAATGGTAAATAAAGTTTTTAATATAAAATAAATAAATACATAAAATAAAAATTAAATTTATTGATAGATTGTGACATAAACAAATAACGTTTTAGTTAATGAATATCAGAAGAAAAAAATTTAAAAAACACTATATATTATAATCTGATTTTGTATTCAATGTCAAAACTCTTTCAGTTATTTTATTGATCGTAAATGCTCGTTTGCAGTGCCCATTAGTGTCACTGCCCAAACCCCTCCAAAGTGGATTCGGCTCAAGATTAACTGAAAAACGATTTTCCAGCACCAGCCTGGCTGCGTGCATCGGACAACAGCTTAAAAGCAGGCGATTTTTTTAGGGTAGACAGAAGTCGGCAAAGGATCAACGTCCAAGCGTGTTTCCGTAATTGCACAGATAAACAAGGTCTGTGAAATGTAGGTTAGTGAGAAATGCGATTCCGCGAAATCAAAATAGACGCTGCCACATCCATATGCACAAATATGACCAACTGGATTAAACTAAATGAAACTGACTCTGTGACGGACGTTGAAGCTCCAACTGATTGCTTTACTGCCACGGGTTTTATTTTTTATTGCCGAAGAGCGAGTATCGGTCTGCGTTTCATTTCAGTAGCAAAATCCGTCGTTTCGTTTAATATGAAGGATGTGAATAATGAAATTCCGATGAGGAAACTGTGCTTTTTGTTTGCATTTTCATGCTTTGAACGCAACAAAAATTTCCAGCAGTCTTTTATTATCACAGTTGCATTCAGCCAAGCCGAAGGGGAAACTTTTATTTACCGAGCCAGCGTACGCAAAAAAACCATATAATGCTTTGACCTCTTTTATAAAAAAGGTTGAATACATTCAAAAGAACCATTATTTAAAAAAACAATTTTATTTCATCTTCATTATTATCAGAATTGATTGGAAAAATATATGCGGAAAAATTTGCAAAAATGAAATGATTTTTAACATTTTTAAAATAATTTTTAATGGGAAACTGGAGGTTGATTTAAAAATTAATGGGCCAGCTTTTTCTAAAAATAGCAGCCAATTTTTTACTCTACAGATTCCAGACCGGCGCTGCAGACTCATAAATAAATATCAAAGGTTTCAGCCTATACAGCGCGCATGTGAAACCTCTTGCACGGTAATTGTTTTTCTCATCACAAAAAAGCAATATCCTTTCATTAGCCAGCTCGACTTTCAAAAATTCAAAAAATTGATGGTAACTGTGACCTTTTTATTATTATTTGTTTATGAATGGAAAATCTATAAAACAAATTGCGATGAATGAATGTGAAAGTAATAAAATAATTTTTTTATACTTTTGGACTCGAAGAAGAAAAATAATTCCCCCCAGGATTTTCTCATAACCTTATCCAGACTCCAGACTACCAATAAGTCGCAGAGCTCAATGAGCCATAAACAAAAATGGGCCGATAAGATGTAATGCTCGCCATTGGCATCAATGGTCTCATTTTCGCAGCAACTCCAACCCTACCACACATTTTACGCTTCTTTTTGTACCGTCAGTCGAGGGGCTAATGAAACGTAACGAGTTTATGCATTAATTTCCACTTTATGAAACTTTTCATAAAGATCTATTTTCAAAAATAACGATGCTAGTGCGTAACTAAGGGAGCGGGCTTAGTTGAGGATTTAATTAGTTTCCGTGCTCACTATTCTGGGAATATTGCAGAAATTTGCCGCGTTAATTTATCACAATTAGGCGCCCCAAAGCAAGGGTAGCACACCCATGGGTGGCGTAGAACAAGTTTCAAATTGATTTTCGTCTCACATGCGAACAAAGAGGGTGCAATCCATTCAGCCGTGTGCTGGTCGGCAAACTTTTTGCAGCACAAAAGAAAGTGGCGAGGAATGTTTCTGTCGGTGAGAAAGAGATGTTGTCGGGTCGCCGATAAATAAAGCGATTTCTTTGGTCCCCCTAGCGTCTTTTTCTGCACGCGTCGACCCATGAGTTTCGCAACAACTCGTCTAAATGGTTTTGAGATGAATCAGCAGAAAGGGGGACACGTGCGGCCAGATTTCGCCAGCCTCCAAATTTGCATAAACAGCAAGCAATCAATCACAGAGCTCGTTTGGAATGTTACCAGCGGCTGAGATTTTTGAATTGAACTTCTTATATTGTGCTTGTGTTTACTATTATAAGTTTCTTGTGACGAAAGTAACGAGCACTTTATCTACAGAGTGAGGGGCTATGAACTCTTGAAGAGTTATTTGGAAGAAAATTACATAAATATCTCATACGATAATCTTAGGAAGTATGAATCAGAGAGACGATTAATGTAATTTTCAATACAATAAGTAATAATTTCATAAGACTAATTTAAATTATCATTTCTATGATTCAAGTTGTAGATTTTATTACAATTCTAGCTGGATAGCTAATGCAATAAGAAATATAATTTTAATATTTAAAAACAATTTTGAGAGCAGGAAAGTAGCCTTTTCCGAGAGAGCTTGCACAAAGAAAATTAATTGATTTACTTATTATATTTTTATTTTGAAATATAATATTATGAAAGATATAGAATAGATTAAAGTGCTTTGATGAAAGTCTACGCTTCCTCAGCTCAAAGTGTATGTAAATTCTTGGTTGTAAAGTTTGGGTGTGAAGGTAGACTAATTTGTAAGTAATAATTATATTTAAAATATTTGTATTCAAGGTTTCCTGTAAAGCAATTTACAATCTAGCGATAAAATTTGCATCAATTGTTTTTAAATATTTATATAGCTAACACATAAATAAACATATATTTAGAGATTTAGATAAAATATCCAGAAATTAAAAAAAAAAATAAAAATAATATTTTTCGTAACAAATTTTTTAATTTTATTGTAAGATAAAATAGATGCTCTAAGCAAATTACGATCAGCAGCTTCCTAATTGTGTTTATAAAACCAACTCGTGAAGTACGAAGCTCTTTCAGTTTAGTACACTGTAAACTAGGAGTAATCAATCCATGTACAGAGGTGAATCAGCAGCCAGGTCATAATTAGCCCAGTTGCGCTTCTTGCGAACAAAGCCTCGTAAAACACACGAGAATGACAGAGCAGCGCCAAGAGGCGAAAAATGGCTGCCCTCTCCGGGTATGTCGTTTCCTTGCCTCCGGAATTAGGTTTGCGTTATTACACACCCCGGCTTTCCTCTGGGCGGCGAGTGGGGTGCGTCGTTTTATTTCGCGTCTCTTCTCACTAATGCAAAGAGAAACCGCACTAATTGTGTGTTTGCTATGATAATTAGAACGCGCGCGCGCCAGACATCCTCACGTGCAATTTCATTCCGAGAACAACTTCCGACATTGTCGCGTCTCTGCCGTTTTTAATAAGGAGAAAGACTGCTGTGTCTTTTTAATTAACCACGGATCTGCACCCTGCTTGCATAATATCTCCATATTGATTTTGCCGCGACTTACGCTAATTGGAAGATTTGGCGGCTTTCTTCTGACGTGATTAATTATCGGGAGAGCGACTTTAAGTTTTTGGTAAACATTAATCAGCACGATCGAAATGTACAGGAAAAACATGCTTGTTAATTTGCAACCATGGCAACGTGTTTTCTGTTGTTGCAAATTTAATGACTTGTTTTGGTTCTGATCTCTGATCAAATTAAATAATTAATATTTTATTCTAAAAATTATGAAATTACAAAAACATTGTGTGGAATTTAAATCAGAAGAACTTAGAAAATACTTAGAATTATTGATTTAAAATAACTTTCATTTATATTTTAAAAAAAATAACCCTATGAAACAATAATATTCCTACTTGCCTCACATTTTCAATTAAATTGCCTCTGTTTAATTGTCTATTTTTAACACTACTTTATGCAAAATATTATACAAATTCCGATAGTTGATGTGAATTCGATCTAATAAAAAAACTAACAAAGTCTATGAATAGCGGGAGGAAGACAATAGACTCGCAACTTTCCACCCACATATTTGCATTATTTCCTTTCATGCATCGAGCATTGTTCCCCAGATGCACTCTCTGTGCTGTAATTCCACGCCTAATTAGCAAGTCAATCCAGCGGCATTTTACGAGTTATGTAGGTCACGCGCCAACTTGCTGCAGAGGCAACGAAATAAATGATTCGCGAAAAGCACGACGTTTTCTTTGCTTTTGCTCTCCCCGGATTGAGCAGGGGAAGTGAAGTGCTTTTCAAAGACCTGCTGCTTTATTTATTTTGCTGCAGCTCGACAAGCGTGCAAAATACTACTGGGCTGTGTCATAACTGGTAAATTTTTTATGAAGTCCTTCAAAACCAAATTGAAAAAACTACGACGAATACGTTACGGCGCAGCCAAATGGAACACTAAAATTATAGTAGATAAATACAAACATGCTCTTTTAATCATTTGGGAGTAAAACTTGGAAAAATAAATTTTGATAGAATCGAAAGAATTTAATAATTCAGGAGGGAAAATAGGAACTATTGAGTAAAATTTGAAATGTCTGGCAATTTTTAATGTAGTTCAACATTTTTCTCTTTTTTTTTTAATTTCAAAGATAAAATAAAAACTTTTTAATTGAAAGAATTTTAATATTTTTTAATCTTTTTATGAAACAATTAACCTGTTGAAGACAAAGCAGATGTTAAATTAAATTTACCTGATTGTTTTTTTTTTAATCCTTATATTTTTCTTTATAAATATTTACCTTCAGTTCTCTGAAACTCATTAAATTTGGTAATGGAAGCGAAAGAGACAAAACAAACGAGGCTTAACCAGTCCACTTGGCTACACATTTTTGTTTGCACGTATGCAGAGTGAGAGGGCCATTAAACGTGGCTGGCGCTCCAACATATATATTTCAGAGAGCAAAACTTTCGGTTAACCGCTCATTAACGAGTATTCTACAGGATGAAAACCATTCCTAGCAAAACTTTACCAAGGATAATTATTGCAATAAACATCTCAACACAAAAAGCACAAATAAATTTTGTAAATTTTATAAAAAGCTTCAAATGGAATGCGGATGAAGGTATGCAACCGGGCCAACACCTTTGTATCACACACAGCCTAACGTCCCATAACGGCAGGAACATTAAAATTTTACGGCCAAAATATTTGTCCCTCGCACGGGAATAAAATGCAGGCATGCGTGTAAGAATTTCGCACAAACGCCGAGGGAATTTGGCCCGAGATTTTGCAGACTCATAAAGTGGCAGTCTGGGTGCCGGCCTGAGTGTGATTGATGAGCCTTCGTACTATCTCCTTCGATTTCCCAGAGCTGTGACAAAACATTGCTGAGAGTGATGGCACTCAATTAAAACTTAACTGTCCCCAAAGGAGGAACGGGCTACGCGGATATGGAAATTGGCAAAAATCAATTCATTCTTTTTGATGAATTGGGATCTGATACGCCTCAGCGACAGGCCTTTTTTCACAAAACTTTTAAGCAGATTAATCCTGGTCTGTTAGAGAGAATCAATGGTCCCGAGGGCTGTCAAAACTTTGGCATTTTGTGCGATAATATGAGGAACGTGCAGAATTTCTAGCATTACACCTCGTCAATTTCAGCTCGCAGCATTGTTTGCTTTTAATTAAAACTGGCATCTCACTCCAATTAAAACGCGGCTCACAATTTGTTTGGTAAACAAACATGAATTCCAACATGAATGTTTCTCTGACGGGGCGCGCAACTACATAAATTTCATGAAAAAATCTAGTCTGCCTGAAATGTATTTTTTAAATAGGAATAAAAGTATGCAGAGTGCATTTTTAATAATGAATTCCCGTCATGCTGGTGATAAATTATTTGAATTTTAATTATATTTTCTGTCAAACACGTATTTACAAAAAAAGGCGCACATGAAATATAAAAAAGTAAAATATAAAAAAAAGGCAAAGCAAAAAGCCAACTCTCAAAGGTATGTTTATCCTCAAATTCTCCCAAATTCCTCATTAAATCTTATCTCATTTTTAAAAGAATATTAAAAAACACTTAAATGTTTTAAGATAAATGGAGCAAGAAGGTAATGAGTGCGAAACAGTTGTACGTGTTTAATCAGTTGTGCGTGTTGATAGCGAGGCAGCAAAGCGGAAAGTAGTTTAAATAATAATTAAATGTTATCAGAATATTTCTACGACCTGTTCGCTCTTCATTGTTAGTTGTGCTGCTAGATCAAAGGTAGCAATGGCCATTGGTACATACATAGTTCTGGCCATCTTTTTACTTGGTAGAGGACATGCCAGAAACGCTTCCCCACATGTAAGGAATTAAATTTGAAAAAATTTATTTTGTATAAATCCATTTTTGATTTAAAATATAGATATCGCCATTTGAATCACAGCCTGGAAATGTGCCAGATAATCTTGACGACAATGATTTTCGAAATAACGGCCCAACTGCAGCTCCAATAAAAAGTTAATTAATTATATCTACCTTCTAAATCTATTTGCCACCATTTCCATTGTAGGCAACTACACAGAAGTGACTGGATGGCCGTCTGAACAGATTTCACTTGGTGAAATTTCAGCCGTATCTTTAGATAATTTTGGAAATGTGGTCATTTTTCATCGAGGAAATCGTACGTGGGATTACTACTTTGACAGCAATTATCAAAGGAAGAATGAAGGTCCAATTACGCAAAACACCATAATCACGTATGACCCTGATTCAGGTCGCATCATTCACCGATGGGGTGCAAATTTGTATATTTTAAATTTTGTCTAAATTCTGGTTTCTAAGATATTTTTATTTGAAAGATTCTTCATGCCTCACGGTTTGACAGTGGACGAAAAGGGTAATATTTTCGTGACTGACGTTGCGTTGAACCAGGTTTTCAAGTTCCCACCCAGGGGTCGCCAGGGAAGGCCGTCGATGGTTCTGGGTGAAAGGTTTGTAGAAGGAAATGACAAAAAGCATTTTTGCAAACCGACTGCAGTGGCTGTGGCCAAGTCGGGCGACTTCTTTGTGGCCGATGGCTATTGCAACAAACGTGTCATCAAGTTCAATTCAAAGGGAGAATTTATTTTCCTGTTGGGCCAAAATCCAAGTAATTTTTAGTAAATAAAAAGAAAGAAAAAATCAATATTAAACCAATACTTTAGACATGGTCGTCAAAAGTCCGGCTCCAACTGATTTTAATATTCCACATGCCTTGGCTCTGGCCGAGGACAAAAACCGTGTGTGCGTAGCTGACCGGGAAAATGGAAGGATCCAATGCTTTACGATCGATAGTGGTATCTTTGTAAGTCAATTTGCCCCAAGTGAATTTGGAAAACGAGTTTACAGCGTTGCCTACACTCCCTCTCAAAGTACCGAATTAAGTATTTAAAGTTTATAAGATTAAATTTTATTTCAAAAACAGGCGGAATGCTTTTTGCTGTCAACGGAAGAGACGATATTGTTCCTGTCCGCGGCTTTGCTATTGGTTTCACCAATCAACAAGTGACAGCAAACTTTGGAAATTTAAAGCAACCACATGATGTTGCTGTGTCACTTGACGGTCGTGATGTTTTCATTGTTGAACTTGACCCGCAGAAAATAACTAAATTTGTCGACCGCAAACTTTAAAAATAAAATGATAATCTTCTTTTTATGTAAATGCGATATATATCTCAAATATTGCAAATTTTCTGTAGTAAAATTTCAAGCGTTTAAAAGTAAATGTTAATTTTTTTTTTAATTTTACTATACCCATTTTTAATTAAAATGTACAAAAAGAGTGGAATTTTCCCAGTGATATCTGAGCATCCGGTATCTGCACGAGGGATTTATTCAATGCAGTTTTTAAATATTTGATGTAGCTGAGGTGACAGAGTGGTCTGTGATTGATGAGTGGTCCTCGGTTTTGTCAGAATTTTTACCAGCAGCAAGATGTCTGCTATCTTTGTTTGCTTTAAAATAATTGAATAATCCATTTTTTAGTCACAGTTATTAGTTTTTCTGAAATTTTTTTTTGAAAAATGTCTCTTTCCTTGTTATTATATTTGTGTAATAAAATTGACAAAACTCGCATTTACAAGGAAGATCATTTTCCTCCTACAAAAATGAACTCAATATTCAATTTTGAGCAATAATAAATAAATTTGTTCTCTGCAAAACAACATTGCTGCCTTTCACGAGACTCGCTTTGACGCACATAATGCTAATGTAATAAAACGCTGTTTACAACACAACAGCAAACGGAAAGCATACGTAATGCCACGCAGTGAGAAACACAACAAAACTTCTTTCCAGAGGAACACACAAGCACCGTAATTCGTATTTTCCGAGAAGGGAAAAGATAAGGAGCCGCAACTTCTCGCACTCTTTTTTACTGAGTAACAAAGAGTGGTAAAAATAAATTCTTTAGACATGCACGTCGACGTTTTTTGTGTTTTCTTTTGGCTGGTTAGTACACAGCCGGGAGCGTTTTGCAGCCACCGTTTAATTCCATTCTGGCAGCGTAGTGGCCACTCGACGTGACGCGTGCATTTAATAACTTGTTGCCCCAGGGACCCGGTCTGGGCAGAAAAGAAGTGAAGCGTTGCCAAGTTGCTATATAATCTTTCCTTTTATTAACGCGATCAATCTAAATGAACAAGGCGTGGGCAAAGTGTTGAAAAAAGTAAATAAATTTATCGGCCGGTGTGTGTGTGTGTAACCGACGTCGTAGCATCGGACGTCCCTCCGGGGAAAAAGTGGGGCTGCGTGTCGGGCGATTAATCAACGTTGAGCAAGAAGTGCAGCGAACGACCCTGCTTTTGCTGATGCGCCACACGGGACGTTTCGTTCAGGTGCTCCCGAGGAGACACTCTAAATCACTTGCTGTTCTCCGCAAATAATCAAATATAATGTATAATATCGCTTGAGATTGCGTTGTGAGTTATGTGGTATTATTCTCGTCGCGGAAAACGGATTCACCGCAATGCACCGATGCGTGAAGAGATATTTCGCCACGGGCTTTACAACGTCTATTGCAATATCAATAATTGAAAGATAAATCTACAATGCATCCTGAATTTCACACATTTTTTTATGCAAAATTTAATGGAAATATTTTGGTTAGTTAAAATTACAGTTTGCCATTTATTATCATTTATAAAGTAAGGACCTATAAAATTGAAAGTTTTCCATAATTCATTAAGTCTATTTATCTTAACACACTTGTGGGAGCATAAGTATTTTTACATAAACATTATCTAGACGAAGTAATTCAGTAAAAATATTTTTCTTTTTTATTAGAATTTGTTATTCTTCTTTTCTTCATGTCTTTAAATAAGCATCAGAAATAATATAATTTGCCTAATTAAATTGTGTCTAATACTAACTTGAATTGATTTCCAATAATTCATTTTAATGAAACTTTCTAGAAAAAAACTTGAAAACATGTGGGGTTTATGAGGACCCTTTGGAATTATAATATTAAATTCATCACGATGAATAAATCAATTTTCAGGATGTAATAAATTTGTCTGGAAACGATGGCGTCAAGTTAACCAGCTGGCCAAAAAGCAAAACACGTAAAATAAATTTCGCAGCAAATGTTTATACACGTGCTAAATTAACAACTCTTCCAGGAAGGACGGAAACGAACAGCGATTTTATAGCGCGCAATCTGTTGTGCGATTTTTCGCGACCCATTGTTGCACCCATTACGCGCCGCGCCCCATAAACAGCGTCGCCTTTTATGGCATCCGACTGGCTGAAAGTGCTTTTTGTCAATTTTATTGCACCATCTCGCTAGGTGCAATGCAGACACCGTTGGCGATTCTGAAAAAAGAGACAGTCCACTGAGAGGTCGCTGACCTGGCTAACGCGTCTTTAAATCACCACTTTTGGATGCACGCCTCACATAAAAAGTGATAAAGTTAGTTGCAGAAGCTGAATCGTAAATCAAGTGGAATTTTATTGGCTCCTTTGGCGAGGAGTATGAAGACCGCAGACACACTTAATAATTTCCACGCTTAATCTTCGGAGAGCTAGATTGGCTGGAGAAAAGTTCGAAAGTTGTCGATTTATGCAATAAATAACTTCAATTGCATGCTGCTTTTGTCTAGCGTGGGTATTTTTTTGTTCCCAAACTATCCAGGCCAGTATCAATTTTCATTTTCGCAATAGAACTTCTCGGGTTGCGAGCAAAAAAATAAAGATTGCCCCATTTGCTAAGGTAATGTGCAATTTGTCAAGCGTGTTCAATAACGTCGCAGTTTATCAACGGCGGTTTTCCTAGTGCTTCGGGCTAAGAGAATGCTCGTTTAGAATATGCATCAAAGTGCTGGTTGCAGTGGAAATCAGGGGCAAAATCTTGTGCTTCTCAGTTATATTATCTAGGTCTCAACCACAATGGAAATACAACGAATAGCAAACAAGTGTTAACTTAGCTAGAAAAATAATTAATTTATTTGTGCAGACTATTGATTTACTCCAGTTTAATTAAAAGAAACAGAGGATATCAAAAAACTTATTTATTATTTCACTTTATAATCGAAACTATGCATATGATTACCTATGATTTAAAATTAATTTTATATTTGATATATTTATAATTATTGTTATCTTGATAATGGGACTATCTTTGAAGTTAATTATTACAAATTTTGGATTACTATGATTTCATCATATAATTTTTAATTTAAATACGATGTAATAATTAACTTCTTAAAACTTTTACAAAAATAATTAATTTAAAAATTCACTAAAAGAAATGGAATTATTATTCAAAATTGCTAATGAAAAGTTTTAAAAATTGATTGATAAATTCTTAAAAAACAATTTTTTTAAACTTTGTTTATAATAATAGCAATCACCGCGCTATCTGCCATTAAAAACTTTTAAAATTGGCCGTTGTGCATATAATTTTGTTAATATTTGTCAAACTAACTAAGCAAAAAATTTTTTAAATTGAATTTAAGCATTTTGACGTGTGCAAATAAACAACAATGTAATAATAACAATAAAAAAAGTAATACTTTATCATATTTGATCAAAATGCATATTTTGATAACAAAGAGCTACTTCTTAATCAATTTTTTATAACAATGGGGTAAAAATTTAAAATTTTTTCCAATAATTGTAAAAATTGGTGTCTCTCTTTGGAAAGACTTTTTTGATTATATACGAATAATGAGAACTGAAACATAATAAAAGTTTATTTCAATTTCCGTAATCTCGCATTGTCATTGTCAGCGTTAATTGCGGTGGAAACTGTCACTTATCGTGCTCCATCCAATTAACCATAATTCACTTCAGCTCGATCGCCACCGCACAGAAATTCCCTCTTGGCTAAATTGGCGTAAGATGCTGCCGCGAATAGTGCGAAGGCGAACAGGAAGAAGTGATTTACGAGCGTCTCGACTTATTTTTGTCACATGCAATAAAAAGATATCCCGGCGACGTTCGCACTGCGCGACATCGACATGTTGCAGAGAATTGGGTCGCGCAACTACTCCATTCATTAATGGCGAGCGCGGTTGACCTACCGCAAGTCCCTCGCACACACACTCTCGGCCGAAGGTCTATTATAGAGATGCGTATCTCTGTGTGCGAGTGGAGGGTACGTGTGCTCACAGCACCGCATAATGTCATGCCACAGGGGTGGCTGCCTTTGCTAATTGCATTGTGCAAGAAAATTGAAAATTTTAATTTATAAAATCACTGAAAATTTTCAAAATCCCTAAACCGGGTATTATAATATACGTTAAAATAAACTTATCCTTCAATTTTTATTTCAAATAGATCTAGATGTTTTTAAAAATTAATACTGACATTTGCATGGCTGGAGTATTCAAATTCTGGAGACAATTATAGAATATGAGCTCTATTAGTATAAATTGTTGTTGTTTCATATAATATTTGTAATTTTGCATTTTGATTTAATACCACAATTAATCCAAGTGAATAACAGAAAATTTGGAAAAATATCTACAAAATCAAATAAAAATTTCACTACACACCTTGCAGAAAAATATGCAAAAATTGAAATGCCTGATGTGTAAAAATTAAAATCAAACAATATAAATGGGACCGATATAAAAGCCTTCTTGATTTTGTGAATCTAGAAATTTCTTGCCTTAAAACTTTTTATTTAAAATTTGCTCTAGGCTTGATTTTTGAAGGGTCTTGGGTTGAAAAAATTACTACTTCTGCTTTTTATTCCAAGATTAGTAATAATGGAATGATCTTCCACCCACTATGTATTGCACCTTTTGTCTGCTATGGCAGTCAGCAAATCTTTTGCCTTTTCCTACGGTCTTGAGCTGCCTATTTTGAAAGGGCCATTTTTCTACCAGGATTATCTTTTGCTTTCGCTTCTAAAAATACACTCTACTCTATACAAGCCATTTGTAGAATACAGAGCCGGTCATTTATTATTTCGGATTTCGGACACACTGTGACGTTGGTTTGAAATCTACCGGAGCAAATCGTCCGTGTGTCACCGGCTTTTTGTACTCTCTTTTTTCGCAAGTCATACTCATTCGTGCAAATCCCATCGGACTTTCCCTGCTGCATCTCGTGCGAGTGACACACGAGCTGAGAGCATTTTTCAAAGCTTCTGACCTTTCTTCCGCACGCGCTAGTTGAATTGGTGTCGGAGAAAAATGACACGCTCCACGAGATGTGCATACTTTCTTTCTTTCCTTTTTGCAATCTTCGTTGATTGTTCTGCTAGCCAGGTGATATCCC